CACCCTTCAGGGCCACACGGTTCCGGCGAATGGCCATGATGGCATTTCGGATATCCTCCTCATCAGCGTTAGAGCTCACATGCACCTCTTCAAAGTCCACTGGCACACACGCGTGTCTGCAGTAAAGTCAGGCTAAAAAGGCTTACCTAGGGCCTTCCACACCCTCTCCTGAAGCCTTTATCAGTCTCTTCCCTGCTGCTTTCCACCTTGACCTGGCTCCAGCTAAGAGGAAACTGGACCCATCCATGCCAAACATAAGGGTCACACTTGACCCCCACAGGACTGGTGCTACTTTCCTTGTACCCAGGTCAGTCTAGCAGGATGAGAAACATTGGGATGCAAGACCTGGCTTGACAAGCAGGCTTTCCACCCCACTGGGTACTTGGGCAAAAGTACTAGATGGTGGGCTTCTGGATTCCCTGTGCTTCTTGGCACAAAGTTCTTGGGTGCTTCCAGATTGATGTGTGGCACAACACTCTCTGGGAGAGAAGGTAAGGGAAGAAAGTCCAGGCCCTCCATACCTGAATACGGATTTAACATGTAACATGAGCTCCGGGCCGATGCCATCCCCTGGGATCATAGTGACTGTATGCCGCCCACCATACTTAGCAGATGGAGGCTAGAAGGGAGAGGGTGAAAGTGAGCCCTTTGGTACACCAATGTGCACCCTGACTTGAGCCAGTTCCCTTCTTCCCACCAGTACCAATCCCACAGGTCAGCCAAGGCAAGATTGCTGTTCTGAGGCTTCTGATCAGCAGCCACCACCACCCCAAGACCACTGGACTTGGGTTAACCCCAAAGTAACTAAGAGCCCCTCAAATCTAATTCAGAGAATACTCACAATTGTTTGTTGCTAGAGGGAAGACAGAAAGGAAGAAGACATGGATCAGCCAAGGTTAGAGGAACAAGGCTGTGACCAGGGAATTGCATTCATTCCCCTGGGGACTATATCTATCACAAATCAGAGGCGAGGTATGAGTGACTTCTGGAGACTGTGCCTCAGAGGGAAGGACAGGAGGGCCAGGGAGCAACACAGTCATGTATACACATAGTACACACAGTCTCATGCACATTATGTGTGCATGTGCACGCGCACACACACGCCACATACAGGTGCACCTGCACACTTGGATGCACATGGAAACACATGAGTACAGCTCTCCCCCTCTCATGTATATGCGCATGTGTACATATACACATCCAAGGGAGGTACTTACTGAGGAAATGCTCCTCCGGGGGGCCTCATTGGCACCTAGAACCTGTCAAAGAGAACCCAGATGCCAATGTTAAGTTCGAAAGAGCTAGCCTAGCTCTTGGCAGAGACAAACTGATAACCAGTAAATAACAGTTTATCATGTGCCTAGGACATTCCAAAGCCTCCATTCCCAGCAACTGTTCCACAGGAGCATCAGACAAAGTGGGCCCAATATTTCATTCCCCTTGTGAATCGGCATAATAAAAACTGTATGCCCAGCCTGGCATTGTAGCTTTAATCCTAGCCCCCAGAAGGCAGGGGCAAGCAGATCTTTGTGAGTTCAAGGCCAGCTTGGTCTACATAGTAAGTTTTAGGCCAGCAAGGGTGACAGAGTGAGGTCTTGTCTCTAAAGCACAATAAAAACAGAACTGTATGTCCCCATCCCACTTGTGTATTGGCTTTGGATTCTCTTTTGGTCAATTACTGCTACATGTGCACGGAAAAAGACCGATAAACTTGAAATGTTGCAAAAGAATACTCTAAGTCAGCAACTCTGTGCAATAATTTCATTAGGTCTTTCCTCATTTTTCCTTATTACAAAGCCAGTACACAGCCACTATAATAAATGCAAATGGGTAAGGAAGTAAGGAAGATATAGCACACCACTGCCCTGGGATAAGCACTGCCACCTGTAGGGAATGGTCCTTCAGAATAGACATAAAAAAATACTTAGAAAACCACAGCCATTTCTGGAAAGACTGATAACAGATACCAATCTCTAGTATGGCTATCACAAGGAACCGCAAGCAGCTTTATGGTGCATCCTGGATGGATTATGTATGTCCCCAATCTCATGACTGGAAAGCAGCTATGTTTGGCCATGCTGGTGACACTCTGATAGCTTCAGGGGGAAAAAAAAGCCATTTGGGCCAAATGGGCTAGGTGCTAAGAAGTAACCCACTGTCCTGGAGGGAGAGGCTGCATCCTCAGCTCCACAGAAAAGCTTAACTCTCCTCTTGCTGTGCCTCACTCACTTAGAAATACTCAAGGAGGCACTGGCATGGCACAGCTAAATTCTTCCCTGTAAACTGATGATTTTCTGCCACTTACCCACCAGACAGTAGCAGAACGGTCTAACCAATAGCAGAGACATAGCCATTTTCTAAAGAGCATTGCCTTCTTTACAGAAGAACAGAAGGCTCAGGTAGACTCTGACCCTCCTTCTTTGGGTTCTCCTAGCCCACAGTTACAAGAGGCTCAGGAACCATGGCACTAGCAAAGCAGGAATGCCACTCAATGGCCCAAGCCAAGAACTAGGAAGGTTGACTGCTAGGGCCAGAGCCCCAAAGGTCCCTCACTACATATGCAGCCATAGGCATACTTGGAACTTCTTTATTTTCTTTCTAGTACTTGTCAACATCAGATTCATCTTGTCTGCAGGGTCTCCATGCCTTCTATCAGAAGGTAGTATAGATAGCCCTTCCTCCTGGGAGCCTTCCCTGGGCTATTAAGTTCTACTTATACCTTACCCCTACCCATCTAAGAAACATAACTCTACCTGATTATCACCTCCCTGCTCTCTTTCTAACCTCTGAGAACAGAGCACATGTTTGTCTGACCCCTCCCCTCCTGTCATTCCAAGACCATGCACAGTGCCTGGCCCAGTGCTTGGATGACAAGGACCATTTCCTAAGTGAATAAGAACATCAGAAAACGAAGAAACAGATGGAGACCAAGGATATCTAGTAAATCTGCCATCTGCTACTCGTGAAATGGCTGTGTTTCTTTATCAAAATCCATGGAATAGCAGTCAGGCATGGCAGCACACACCTGTAGTCCTAGCACCTAAGAGGTGAGGCAGGAGGACCGGAAAAATTCAAGATCATTCTCATATACATAACAATTTCAAGGCTAGTCTGGGTTACATGAACTCTGCTTCAAAAAAAACAAAAAGAGGGGCAATTGGTCAACCCATGGAATGGAGGCAGCAATTTCATTTAACTGCTGGAAAGTCTAATCAAGAGGAGGTAATACAAGCTGTTCACAATCCCCAGCAGGATGGAGCTGAGCTAAAGTACACCGATCCTCACTCTACTAGCTTCTCAGTCAGAGAGTTAGTTCAAAGTTAGTGTCCCTGGGAGCTGCAAGGCTGACCACAGTAACTCCCAGCAGTGAATTCCTCCTGGGCTTCAGCTGTGACAATGAGCCAGCCTGCTAAGGGCCTGCACCAGGTGTGGCTCACAGTCTCGGCAGCCCTGTTTACAGAAGGCAACAGCACTGTTAGTGCTGAACCTGTCCCAGTTGCTGCCTGTGCCAGATGTGACAATGGCCTTTGTCCCAGTCCCAGAAAAGTCCCCAAACACAAATCCTTGATCTTGCTCTATACAGATGTGAGTAGTTTCTTTTAGGGGATTACAAAGCTCTCCCTCATAAACCCAGATTGTCCAATCAAAGTAGCCCAATATGAGGCAGGTTGAGGAGTTGAAGTCCACATTTTAAATAGAATTTCATAAAGCATATACAACTCCCTCCCCCAGAGAACAGAGGGGAGAAACATAGTAAGTAAAAAAGGCTGCAAGCAACATTGAGTTCTGGAAGTTAAGAGTTGTCAAATGCTTTGAGAATGTGAAGTCCTCTTTCCTCACTGGACAGAAAGGAAACTGGAGCTCAGAGAGAGAAGAGAATTGGCTTAAGGCCATGCTCTGGGTCAGTGGGGGAACATGGTCTGGAGGTCAGAGCTCTTATTCCCCAGAGCTAGTTGTTGGTTGGCTGGTGCTAAGCCGTGCTAACCAAAAGCTAAATGGCCTAACCAAGACTCCCAAAAAGAAAGTTGAGGAAGCAAAGCCCCAGCGGCTTCCAGTCTCAGAACCCTGGTTCAGTCTCATTACAGGGGCTTGGGTTTGCTTGTTGGCCTTTTCGCTAGAATCAAGTGTCAAGCCGCTTGAGAGGCAGGGGGTCTGGAGCTGTAAGAAGGATCAAGAGTGATCAAGAGTCATTCGTAAAGGCTGAGTCTCCACCTCCAGTAGGACAGGTGACAAAGCAGTCTAAGAGAGGGAAACCCAGGGAGGAATTGACTCTGGGAACCAGACACCAACGCAAGTGGAAAGGGCGAGGCGGGCAAGAACACGTGACCTCTTCAAAAGGGCTTCCACAAGGACACCAGGGAGGAGACACTCAGCCACAGCGAACCACCTTTCCAGCTCTTCCGGAGCCCCTGTCACCAGCCACAGACCACCCCCTCCCTAGAGGAGCCAGACCAGAGCCAACTTCGGCCATCCTCCTCCCTGACAGCAGATGTGACCAATGAACCCCAGCGTGCAGCCCTCTCCCCGCCCCTCCTAAGGTCCGCAGAGCCAATTGCACTCCAGGTCACTCAAAGAGCCGCTACCCCACTCCTGGTCTCAATGGGATGTGAAGTCCCCCAGTGAGCGCTGTAACGGTCCCACCACCCATTCACCACTCACCTCCCAAGGACGGCAGAGGAGAGCTGGCCTGAACACTGCCTTTGCAGCACCGCCAGCAGCTATCGCCACCTTCAGCGCCATGACGAAAAGTGAGGACCTCTACAGGTCAAAACGTTAAGACACCGTTCTCGCGAGAATTCAGCCAGTGAGAGGTCCGGGGTGCAGGATAAGAAAAGCTAGCACTACGCACGCGCACGGTTTCATGGGTTCCTACGCCCCCTTCTGGTGCCTGGAGCACTGTTGCCGCCATCTTGTTGGGGGGAAAAGGAGGGAAGCGCCACCGGTTGGGACTCTGGCCGGGGAAGCGGACACGTCAGTGCCGCCAGCAACGTTACCAGGCCCGGCCCAGCCGGACTGTGCACGATTGGGTGTTGAGATCGCTTACGCGTCGCGCTTCCTCGTCTGCTCCGCATGTTCAGGGCGGCTTGCTCTCTTTTCCCTTCGGCAGAGAAGAGGCGATGGCGGCGATGGCATCTTTCGGCGCCCTGGCGCTACTCCTGCTGTCCAGCTTATCTTGCTGCTCAGGTAGCGGCCTGACCGGACCTTATTTTGGGCGAACCTCTGTCCCATAGCAGGTGGTGTTGGGGGAGGAAGGGTGCGCGCGAGGCTGGCGTCTGGCCCTTTCTGGGGCTCTTCGCTGCTGCGGGGTATCGTGTCGTGGCGAGCGAAGCACTACATACACGTTTACCTGCCAGCCAGGCGGCTGGAAGAGCAAATCCTTCCATGTCTGCTTTTGGGAGTACCCCAAAGGCGCACCATACTCCGGCCATCAGTTCCAACCGGGAAGGTGATATGTCCTTGATTCCTGTTTCAGAAGGTAGTTGCACAAGAGCAGTGCTTATCAGCACCTGGCAATAACCTGTGTGAGAAGTAGTGCTGGCAGAGAGGAACCAGTACCGTGTAGGCCAGGCTAAGAGAGGAAGCAAGGACACTCCAGGCAGAGGAGCAGAGTAAGTGCTGGAGCCAAGTTAGAGAGGGAGCCAAAGAAGTGAACAAGGGCTTTTAGTGCCCAGAGCCTCGACTTTCCATGAGGCCCTGGTATATCCTTCCCAAGGTTCATAGCAGAATTGAGCAGTGCATAGATCCATTGATAATTCCCTGTGGTGGGGTTGAGCTCAACCTGGAGTCCAGACGCGTGTTTTGGAACTTGTTAGAGGACGACCTCAAAGAGACAAACCTGGCTGTAAAACCTGTTAGGGGCTCCACAATGTCCACAGGAAAAAGGCCCAGTTTAGCGGGGTATAGAAGGGTTCCAAGACACAGAGAACAGTTGGATGAGGACTTTCCCAGTTAGTGTTTACTTAATACCCTGTGACATAATAACCTTATTTTTTTCCTGTGACCACATTTCTTTAGTCGTGTTTAGTTACAGGAACAGGTTGATGTTTGGGTCTAGAGTTTACTTCTCTCTAGAAACACTAGGACCATTCTTGGCATTGTCTAGAGACCCTTCTTTGAAAGTCCTGTGTGTTGCCAGTACCTCACTTAGTGTCCACAGAATGTTTTCAGTACATGAGGCTATCTTGGTTTACTGGGCTTCTGGGGTGCTTCAGGCCCAGGTGAGCTCCTTTGTGGCCTCCCTGACCTGGACTCAGGTTCTAATTCAATAAATCAGACCCCTCAAATACACTCCTGCTCCTTCCATGTTTTTGCGTCCATGTTTTTACCTCTGCAGAGTCTTCCCTACCCCATCCTGACCTGTCTCAACATCTCTCACTGGTCTCTTCCATTATACTTCAGACCGAGTACTAGAATCCACCTCCCAGACCTCCCTGTCAGCAACAGAAGGACTTGTGTGTCCTCAGTTCACCAAGTCTGAGAGGCAGAGCCAGGGTAAACCCTTTTGTCTTTTGCCTGGAACACACAAATTGGCTTTGCCTCTTCCCCACAGCAGAAGCCTGCCTGGAGCCCCAGATCACCCCTTCTTACTATACAACCTCAGATGCCGTCATTTCTACAGAGACCGTATTCATCGTGGAGATCTCACTGACTTGCAAGAACAGGGTCCAGGTGAGACAGTAGGACTCAGCAGAGAGGGTGCAGGGGAAGAGATAAGGGTGGCAGTGCTCTTCACTGGCAGTTGACAGTGACCCGAGGATCCTATCAACAGGGAGAATAAGGATTCCAATTCACAGGGTGCAGGAGAGCTGAGGGCACAGCAAGGCCAGATCCTAGCAAGTACTTCAAGAGCATTTTCCTGACCTGCTTGGTATGCTTTGCCTCCATGCAGTAATGTGGGTAGATACCCCACTGTTTCCTGGATGAATGTCTGGAACGGAAGAAAGAACTAGTGTCAGGCCCCATGACCCTTCATCTTCTTTCTGGTTGCAGTTTGCCTGCGTGAGTGTCTGGATGGATATTCTCTAAGTTTAAAATTGGAAACCCCAGCCTGAGCCCCTGACCTACTCTTTCAAAAATCTAAAAGAAATTGGACCTTTTTTGGGGGGAGGGTCTATACTCTATGGTTAAATACCTCGTTTGGCATGAAACAAGGCCATTTTTATCATCCTACTTCTGTATACAGCTAATAGACTTGCTGTGGGTTAGGTTAAGCTGGTCATAGGGAAGATCTTGCTCTACTCACCTCTAGGGAAACAGGAAGGAAGATGGTGACAGTATCCATGGGTATGACCTAGCATGGCTATGGGCTGTGGAAGGCATTTGCCTTGGGTCTTCTATAGCAACCCCTACCAATATAGCCTTCAACTGGACTACTCTTCCTAGTCATGGTACTGCTTTGAGCAGCATAATGGGGGTTCTGTGTGTGCCCAAAGAAGGAAAATGTGACTCTTGCTTTATTGTCCTCACTCCTTCCCCAATCCAGAACATGGCTCTTTATGCTGACGTTAGTGGAAAACAGTTTCCTGTAACCCAGGGCCAGGATGTGGGCCGATATCAGGTAAGGGCTACTGAATCCAGGGTTGTTGGGGAAATGGCTCAAAGCAGGGTTAGAGATCAAAGACTCAAGCACCTGCTCATAATGGTGCTGTGCCCGCACTAGCAGAGTAGCCCTTCATGTGTCTGCTATGCCCACCCTTTGCCAAATACCCAACAAGGTTTCATGGAGCCTGGAGCACAAGAGCGCCCACGCAGGCACTTATGAGGTCACATTCTTCGATGAAGACTCCTACAGCCTCCTAAGGAAGGCAAGTGTCATCTGGGAACTGCATGCCCCATATCTGTAGCCCTGTCATCCTGATCGCTATGTACTGCCCTTCTGCACCATCAGCAGTCTAGCTTACACGGAGCAGGAGCCTTCTTCCTGCTCCTGCTTCTTCATTTGTCTCTTGCTCATTTCTCCCTTAACTGGAAGCCTGTCTAGCACCTTTTGACCCCAGCACCTCCCTTGCAGGCTCAGAGAAATAATGAGGACGTTTCCATCATCCCACCCCTGTTTACAGTCAGTGTGGATCATCGGGTAAGTGGCCTTGTCTTGGGAGCAGAGAACACAGGGCACACTTCATTTATTCATTGGGGGGGGCGGGCAGGGTGAGTTTAAGGGAAAGCTACCATCTGCTGCAGCCCAAGTTTTGGGCTATCACTGCTCTCTGTGTTCTGAGAACAAGTGACTAAGAGTGGCTGGTCTACTCTCCTGTCACTCGCCTGAGGTAATTTTGATCTTTTTCTTATATAGGGCACCTGGAATGGGCCTTGGGTCTCCACGGAAGTGCTGGCTGCAGTGATCGGCATAGTGATCTACTACCTAGCCTTCAGTGCAAAGAGCCACATCCAGGCCTGAGGGCAGCATCCTCAGCCTTCTATTGCTTCTTTCAATAAACAGTTGCTATCTGTCATGAGTACATTTAAGACACGGGACTCCTGTGTCTTTGGGGAGGGCTGGGAATCCAGCTGCCCTTGTCTGCCTGGACAGTAGTGATACTGAATGGATAATTGTACTTTCCCTGGTGTCCTGTTTTCTTTCATTGTTCTGAAATGGCTTAGGCTTTCTCTTTTCTAGTATGAGGCCTCTTTAGAAAAGATCATCTTTCCAGCCAAGCAGTGGTGGCACACACCTTTAATCTCAGTACTTGGGAAGCAGGGTTTCTCAAGAGTTTGTGGCCATCCTGGTTTACAGAGCAAATTCAAGGATAGCCAGGGATACAGAGAAGCCCTGTCATTACTAAAGAAAAAAAAAGCCCATCTGTCTTGACCTCACCAGTCCCCAGGGCAGAGCTGGGTTTCCACCTGGCTTCTTGTCAGGAAGTCTTCCTATGGTCAGCCTACGGTAGGCAGGGCCCTGGGACTCTTTAGGATTGCTTTGGGCTGGAGGGCTCCTTTAACTGCACATGTGGTTGGGAATGACACCTTTACATGCAGAGAAGGCAGGGGCCTTTTGTAGTCTTCCTCCAAATTCAGCAGTCAAAACTTATAATCAGCCTCATCTTTGTGGTAGCTCCTATGTTGGAGATGTTCATAAGCTATATGTAAGTGCTTTTGTGCTTTGCTTGCGTAGCAGCTAAAATTGTTATGTGTGCAGCTGCCCTAAGCACTCTACATCCTAATCCTAACAGCCCATGATGCTTCCTGGCCTGATGCTGCTCACATCCAATATACTGCTTGATCTTTGAAGCTCAGACTTAACCTCCATTAGTATGTTCTTTCTCTAGTGAGGCCTCTGCTATGAGCATGTAAGGCCTGAAAGACAAAGGCCAGGAACTCCTTGTACTCCTCCATGTTCTCTTTGCCAAGGTTTCAGGAAAAGCTTGAGTAGTGTTTCTTAGTACTAGGGAAAGTTGGTTGGGGTGAAGAAGCTGGATACCAAGTCCCAAGTAAATCTACCCCACTGTATGGCTAAAGCCACTTTTCTAGTGCTATCTAGTCTTCAGAGTAGGTCATTGGAACAGTTGGCCACACCCTAGGGGATCCTCGTTTAACCTCTGGAAGGGTTGGGTTGTGGGAGATGTCATAGACTGGGTAAGTGCAGCTTACTCAGGCTCATCCAAGCTAAGGGGTCTGCCATGCCCAGTTCTTGGACAATAGTAGGTGAGCAGTAAGGCCAGAGGTGGGAGCAATAGCTTCTCTTGGCTGCTGAAGTACAAATGACAAGTCACCTATGTTCTGGCTGATCATTAGTGAGGAAGTAGCAACAGCTATTGGCCAATTAGTTGCTTTCTGGTTCTGGCTCCACCACCTGGCCAGATGGCAATGCTAGCTAAATGTGAAGTTGATGTTGCAAGCTTTCAGTAACAGTGTTGCCAGCCAAGGCAGCATAAGCTTCGGAACAGTATCAGCTCACATTCTGGTCCTAAGATCCCCACAGCCAGAGAACAATATTATTCCAGACCTCACAGTAGCTGGAGGAATGCCCAAGGAATACTTGAGCTTGATCTCCACTAGGAAAGGGTAGGAAGCTGGAGACACCCCTCAAAGCAACCGAAGAAATATGTGGCCCTCTGTTCTCCCATTCCCACCACTGCCTACAAGCCTCCTCTTTCTTCTCCCTACTCACCAGCAAGGCTGCTATGTACAGTTCCACCCAGAGTTGTTGAATGGCAGGGAGGTGAGGCTGTGTCCTTGTGACCCAGCCTTCTCAGCAAAAGGGCTCAGCTTCTGGGAATGGATCCTCAAATTTCCCACTCACATTCACCTTGGCATCTTACCCACCACCAATTTGCTGTGGAAGTCTGGGCACTTAGGAACTAATGAACTGACATCTCCCAGCACAAACAGCAATGAACACAGAGTCCACGTAATAAAAAGGCAGCTTGCTTTATTCTTGGAATGTAGATGGGGAACAGGGGTTTCCTGTAGCCTCCCAACATGAGCTTCACCAAGACTGAGAAACCAAACGAGTGGCACATTTGAAAGTTGCACCACTGGAAGAGGTTTTAGGTATCGCTCACTCAGCCCATCTTCCTTTCTCACGGGGTCCAGGCCTCCCAACTCCCACCAGATCTCTAGGCTAGGTGAGGTCTACCCTGTTGCCAATTGAGTTTGGCTTCTCAAACCCCTGAACATCTAAGCTTCTTGCTCAGGTTACTAAAAGTGGCTCTGCTCCAGGTGGCATAGGCCAGGGGTCAACAAATTCTTTTTGGATGGATACTGTGCCCACAATCCCTGTGATTTCACTCTCAGTCACATGGGTGCCCCTCAAAAGCCAACTCAGATCCTTCCTGCCATTCCTCAGAGTAGAGACCACCAGGACAGCTGCTTCCTATTCTTCCCCATCCCCTTCCTTTCCCTCCCACCCAACCCTCCCATTTTTCCTCCCCCCAACCTCCTTCCCAGCCAGCACTCGGTGGGGTCCACCTTTGTCAGGCTGCCTGAAGGATCTGCCAACCCCTAGAGCAGGTCCACAAAACAGAAAACAACTATTGGCAAGCACAGAAAAGGAGAAAAACCACAAAATTCAGGGTTGCCTTTGTCTACAAGGAACTGCGGCTTCCAGGGGTAGGAAGAGGCCATGCTCAGCAAGAAGCTGGACATTTTCTTGTGCTTAAGATAGTCCACCTCACTTCCCTCTGCACGGACTTTCCTGTCTCCAAGAACATATCAAGAGCACTGTGTTTGTACGCAAACATGCAGGCACACACAGGTAGCCTTTATGGGTATGCCCTCTATGCTGGCTGTTGACATAGCCTCTTGGGGAGCAGGAAATAGGTGGAAGAGAAGTGTCCCTTCTAGGGGCTTTCTACTACCAAAGTCCTGTGTACACATACAAATACAGGCGTGTGCATGAGCACAGCGTGCAAGCACACACATAGACACACACTAGATTCTAAGGGAGGGTGAGGGTCAGGCTCTCTAGGCCTGGACTGGGCTCTTGCTGGGGCAGCTCAGACAGTGGTGACAGAGAGCAGAGGGTTATAGATTCTTTTTCCATCAGCTGAGCGGGCACCGTGGGCCAGCATCTCTTGGATGGTGATCCAGTTGTCCAGGATCTTCTTGTTTCTCTTCTTCATGGTCTTACGGTGGCTCAGGGCAATAATGTTGAGCTCAGGATTGCTGTCGCCATTTTGCTGCTCCCTCAGACACTCCAGGCGGCTCTGCATCATGAACTCACGCCTCTTCCGCTGCTCCCGTGCTCGGATCAGGTGCTGCTTCCTCTCTTCCTTGCTCCAGTAGCGGCCCATCTTCATCTCACTCACTGCATCATCATCAGTGGTCATGCCGCTGCGCTCTTCCCGTATTTTCAGGGCCCTAGCCTTCAGCAGCCGATCTCGCACAGGCTGCTTGGCCACATAGCGGGTTCCATCACTTCGCACCTTCACCTTCCATTCCATGCGGGGTACTTCGACAGCTGCGGCCACCACCCCACCCACCCGAGGACCACTAGCCAAGCTCAAGGAGCCATGGCCCAGATCCTCCAGGGTACGTGGTGGGGTCAACTGCACACAGCTCTGGTAATGCTCACTCTCCTGGCCACGATGACGCCTGGAGAGGTAAGGGCTGCCTTCGGGAACTACACGCTCCAGAGTAACACCTGTCTTGGTGCTGCGTCGGACACGCTCCTCTGAGTGCTGTCTCCGGCCCACCTCAGGATCCCGAGAGAGTGATCGGAACTTGGCAGGGCTTCCAGGTGAAGAAGCCCCTTTGGGGTGGGCGGTGACAGGAGGGCCAGAAGGGGTCCGGTTCAAATTGGAATTGCCCGCAGCAGATCGCTTCAGGGGGATCTCAGGCAAAGGCTCCATGAGCAGCGGAGTGCTCCGGCAGCTCTCCCCAGTGTTGTAGGCGCTGGTGCTATCCTTGTCTGATTTCTCTGGCAGTTCAGAGATATCAGACAGCTCGTGCTTTTTGGGCTCACTGGCTGCCAGGTCATAGAGGCTCTCCTCCTCCTGCAGCCAAGCCTTCATACAGCGCTCCCGCAACTGCTGCATCTTCTGTGCCCGCAAAATGTTGGGGCACTTGAACTCTAGGTGCCGAAGCTCCTCCTCCAGCATGGCCATCTCATGGCCTAGGCTCTCATTTCGGTTGACATCCAGGGCACCGTTGCCACTGGAGGCCCAGGAGAAGAAGTTGCCTAGCTGGTTGCCATTCTCCAGGTGGCACTTGATCTCCAGTAGTTCCCGGTAGCGTTCATACTCCTCATCAGTGAGCCCAGGAAGGTCAGCCCCACCCAGTCCTGCCCCCTCAGCCAGCAGAGAGTCCATGCTGAAGTGGAAGTCCCTGCTCTGCAGGGCATCCCCTTGCAGGCCAAACTTGCGCAGGCTTCCAGGAGTGTTGGTGGTGCTGGGGGGCTCATCCCCCAACAGGTCATGTTCAGAGCTCTCTTCATTCCGGGTACTCTCATCAGTCCGGCCCACCCCGCTGTCCAGCTCCTGGCTGTTGCTCAAGCCTGGGCCCCCATCAGGAGCACCCTTCTCATCATTTCCAGTCTGGGACAGAAATGACAAACATAGTCAGTTAGGTTCCCACACACAAGTGTGATGCAGTAGGACTAGAGCTTCTGCTCATGGCTTGTTCCTCTCTAGGCCCAGGCTGGGAGACCATGTCCACCCAAAGTCCCTTTCTCCTTCCTCCCTCTCTCTTGCCCTCCCAACTTAGCATATCTTTGTCCTTCCTTACCTGCGGGGCAGGGGGTGACTTCAGCTTCCTAGGACGAAGGTCCCCTTCATTCTCAGACCCAAAGTCATCTAGGAAGTCGTCTCTGTCACTGTCTTTCCACCGCTTTGCTAGCTGCAGAGACAAACATGAGCTAGCTAACACTTTAAAGGCTTCCCCAATGCCCTCCACATTGCCCTAAGACCATGCTCTCAGTGAAGTCAAACAGACCAGCAGCTTTCAAGACAGAAAGCTTCTGAGGGGCCCTTTGTCACCCAATCAGGTGGACATACACACCTGGCTCTCAGGTCGGGCCACCAGCAGGGAGATGTTGGTGTTCTCTTCCTGGCTCAGGATGGCTACTGCCTCCTCTCGGTTCTGGACATCCATTCCATTAATCTGCAGAGGTCCAGGGAGACA